GCTTGACCAACTTATTTCCTTGCCATGTGCATAAAGTTTTCAGAAGAAAACATATTTTACCATGAGTTGTGGTTGATTTAAAAAGTCCTTCAGCAAACACCCCCACCTTTTGGCAAAAGCTCAACGTTATAGGGAATGATAAATTGTTGGTTGTACTATCTTGCCAAAAATTTTAACGAAAAAGCAAACGGTTTCGCCACAGCAAGAACTTAAAAAGTGTCCAAAACTTTAAAACGCTCTCCTGAAAAATGCCAAAAATGCTCTTACATGCCCTTTTGTGAGATGGACGACGATATATATAGGCCTAATAATAAACGTGAAAGACAAAAATTAATGCTCTAACTCAAAGTACAGTAGAATAGCCCAAGTAGACCTATTCAGTGTAAGAGGTGTAAGAGCTGCGGGAGGGCAAGATGCAGTGATACTGAAAATCTGCAAATCTTGTACAGAAAGCTAAATACTGCCACCAATCCAATGAAACGCGAACATTTAGGTCGTTTTCATATAAGGCCTGCACCCACGCACACTTTACTTAGCAGAGAGCTGTAGTAGTTATCAAAATTCTAAACATTAAATATATTTGCTTCCAGTTTGTTTTTTTTTGTCCACTGGTGTTGCGTCCAGCCCTCCCCCTATCCCCGAGTGCATTTTTTAAAAAATCAATAATCTCCCCCCCCACCCCCTTCCCCCATTCCCGAGGTCCCGTACTTCACAGCGCTCAGAAAGCGCGCAGGTTCATTGACTGGCCACAATGGCGAGCCCGACAACCGCTTGTATAACTTTCTTTTCTTCATGTTGCCCCTATAAGTGACGACACAGTGACAAATATTGATTTACTTTCGTGGCGACACCACGTTTGTAATGCCGAACCTGCATGTTACAGTTACAATAATTGTTGCGTTATCAGACAATTACTGACAAATTTCTGGGTGGTAACGAAAGCGAAAGTAAAGGCTTACTAGACGCTCTGTTATGAAATTTAGTGGGTATCATGCTGGACTATAGATCGGTTGACCCTCGTGCGCCCTCTTCGAAAAAGCGCGAACTTTGCAAACAGAGTTAGAATCTACCCTACTTGTGTGAAAAACAATAATAGTGACACTCTTTTTGGCAGAGTGAACTATCTCTTGAACCTTCCGGTTACCGTGTACGTAGACCCTGAGACTACGTGCCCGGTTACCATGTACGTAGACCCTGAGGCTACGCGCCCGGTTACTGTGTACGTAGACACTCCGATAGCACAAAAGTTTAAGCTAATTTGATGGTCTGGACTTCAAAGATGCTATGGCTATTTCACTTTTCGAATCGAGCCGAACTACGTGGGTCGCCATTTTGTTTTGCCCGGAAGTTCTCGCAAGATCTACTCCTCCCCTTTCTCTCTCTCTCTCTCTCTCTCTCTGTCTCTTTCTGAATACTGTCTATCGGTGTGGACGATCAAATTGACCAAAACAAAGTTTAAAAATGATGTTCAAAAACAAAACTAAATTAATTTGGTCGTCTACCCATCGGCGTAACAAACAGTCAGCCAATCCCACCCCTCACTGCCTTGTAACAACTATTTGAGGAACTCTTTTCTCAGCTGGTTGTACAATCAAAGCGGCAGGCATTGGTAAAACTAATTTCACACCTCTTGCTTCTGGCTACCCAGGAAAGTTTCCGTGGTGGCTCACTATCCGAGCACTTTCACTGGCACTCATGTGATTTTACACACACGCCCCTGACCGTCTGCATCGTTCAGGGCTTACCTCACATAGGGGTAACATCTACCCCTAATTTAATTGCACCCCTACTCCGTTTTCGCAGGTTGCCAATAAATTTAGAGCAGGTGGAACCAAACTTGCGAGTTTTGTTTCAAATCAGGGCTGTCAGTGGGGAAGGCATTGTCAGTCTTGGACAGGTGAGCCACCGGAAGGCAGCAGATTTTTCTTTCCGTTTCTGCGCTGGACAGTTTCCGTTTTAAACAGGTAATTAAAGAGGAATACGACCTATATCGGGGGGGGGGGGGGGGGCAGAGAGATTCCATTAAGACAAGCTTCCGTTTTACACAGCTTCAAGTTAGGCAGGTTCGACTGTATTTTAAAAATAAAACAGAAGTGTACACATATGATGAAAATGAGCATGAAAGAGATGCAATTTCATAATCCTGAAATTTTTCTTGGTAGGGTGTAGACCCACACGGTGGGTTTCTCAGTAGTGACAGGAAGATTTGCTGTAGGTTTAAAGACTTTTCTTTTCAAATACCCTTTGTTCATCTGATAAAACGCCAAGCTCATTTTTTCCCGCCAGCGCATCAGTTGTCACCAAAGATCGTAATGTCATAGCTAGGCGATACATGACCCCTTCTTCCTACGGCATTACCTCCTTCGGTACGTAAGCCTGTCAGTATATAAATTCCCCAGCTGCACACCGCTCATTTGGAATTTGTTTTCATACTGGTAGAGGTAACTGCTCTGCCAAGTAGGCTACTACCTCCCAGGGTGGTGCTACCGACTGAAGTGTTTTCAGGCCATTCCCATTCCCAAATGGTGGACTGTTGCTTTTTCTTTCCTTATATTATCCTTAATATTGTCATTTTCCTCTACTTCTTTTGTATGTTTGTCACTCCCTTGTGACCTGCTATTTCCGGGGTGCCTTGATAGTCTTAGTAGACTCAGTGCTGTTGAAGCTAGAGAGGTGAGCAGAATGTTAAAAGCCTGATTCCCTGAATGGATTTCTCTGTTGAGATCCACCCCTTGGTGCTCAATATGACCTTATATTAGGCAGTTGCGAGTGCCATAAAAACTACTAAAACTTAACGAAAAGTAGGCTTCGTACTGCGCAGAGCAAGTATCCCAAATCCTTACCAATTTACCAGCCAAGTGATTGGCTGACCTCCCCAAATCCAGGTCTATTCTAGAGTGATGGCTCCTTTAGATAGTACAATAGACTCGTCCTTGCGTCTTAAGTTTACTTCATCTTATTCCATTGTCTTAGTATTTCCTGAAAATTTGGGGTTCCAGGATTTAGGTAGTCTCCCTCGCACCACGTACTTGCAAATCCCAAAACAAAATCTCATATCCACCCTCCTTTAGTTTTCAGGAGGGAACCGCTAGCACAATGCTCACTGTAGTAATCAAGTTTTTTTTGCTCAAAAGGACATATTGAAAAATTATCAAAATGTGCAATCCTGTATGATGACAACAGGTTACAGTTAAGCACGTACCAGAAATATTTTGAAGTCCCAGCCAATAGGCCTAGATCTGATGAAAAATTTGTGAAGCTTGACAAATATTACCTGTATGCCTCAAATAATGACTCAAATAGGATGGATTTAGACTTAAACTCAGTATCCAATTTTAAAGACTTCATATAAGAAAATGGGTTTTCGAAATTTAATCAAATGTGCACAAAAGCAGCAAAATTACAGTTTATAAAAATATTTTGACAAAAATCTTTTGCTTGTGCTACTACTGCAGTTATGAACAACACTGGTAACAGATATTCTTTATTACAAATAAAACTGCAATAGAGTACTGCATCACACACTGTAAAATGCACAGGTACTGGTACAGGCTCTTCTGTAAAAGCAGTACAAGTTCAAATAAAGACATTGTTAATAGTTTCAGTATCAGGGAACTTGACTGAGACAGAATTGCAGGGTCAAAATTTTGAATGAAGCAAGCAGCTGTCAAGATATATGCTGTAGTACAGGAAGTGAAACTCTTTAGATGTCTAGTTGCAGGTATCTCATGTATTACATGCTAATGAACTTCTTGACTAGGTTTCTGTGTTTTCATGCACTTTCCTTAAATATTGGGTTGAACTGATGTAGCATCTGACGAGTTGGTGAAGTTGTGCAGAGTGCATCGTGGTGTTTTTCTAATTACTGTAGAAAACTTTCGAATTTTGATACTTGTCCTTTGACTTTGTTGTCTGCATAATGGTTTACATTGCAGCAAAACACTAGCTGAAGTGTACTTTTCTTTCTTTGACATACACAGATACCTGACATACAGCTGTATTTCCAATGGATCCAGCCAGTCGAGTTTTGAAACCAAACTTGACATCTGGAACAACAGCTGCCCATGTTGACAGTTTGGCTGCTGCCAAACTTCCTCTCAGAGTTCCAGCAGAAAAGGAAAATAATTCTTCAGGAGGCGATATAGCGTCAAGTTCAGATTCCTCAAATGGTCCAGTGTAAGTCTGTTGTGCTCTGTACTTACAAAAAAATC